CAGCTGCAGATTGTGCTGTTGAGAAATTCATTTTAGCCCTTAGAGGGAGCCACAGCCTTGACTATGGAAATGGAGTGAAAACAGGCAGGTTTTGTTACACCCAGATATCTGTGATAGAGGAGGGTGGGGAAGGGTTGGTTCTCGATTGGTTTTGTTTTTTCTAGCTTTTAATCGATGGGAACTTGTGAATCAGAGACAAGACTGGTTGTGGGGAATGCCCTAACATATTTGCTTTTCCAGTGACAGATTTGTAGGGTTTGGAAGGTGTCAAATGAATGTTCATTTTACCTTTCCCCTTTTACATGATCATCTTCCTCCTGCACCTTTTGGTTCCAAGTTCTACTGTTCTCTTTTTGGTACTGATACAGCAGGACTTGAACAATTAAAATGTTGCACACTCCTTCCTCATAAAAAATGAAAAATACAAAGATACAAACCACAAAAATTTGATTAAGGCCGTGTAGTTCACAGTCTGGAAATCATGATTGCCACATTTTTTGTTTACTGGTTTTTCTATTAATTATATCCCTTTCTTTAAGGATAGAGTTGTATTACACCCCTTTCTTTCCCCGTAATGTGTAGGTTATAGCAAAATATTTTCATGTAAATGACATGGCTAAAGTGAGTTATATGATCGTGTCGTAAAATCCAAATGAAAATGCTGTTCTGCTGGCTCAGCATTAATCAGCATTGGCAGCTATTCCGTGCAGGGGATGGAGGCTGCACGTGCTCAGAGCAAAATGGATGAAGAGATTTGGAGGCCTTAGCCAATGAAGCTCTTTCTCTTTTCTTAGAAAATGAAATTAAAATGTTTTTCTGTGCCTTTTCCTCTCCCTCCCCCAGCAGAATTCATCCCCAGCAGATGAATTCTAGTGGCAGTGCTGAGGAGTGCTTAACCAGAAAGATGGTACACCAGAGATGGGACAGAGTGTGTCTAGTCCCAGAAGATGCCATTTAAGATTAAAGGAAACACCAAACTTAAATTTTAAACAGCTCTGAGCTCCTTGCAGAGAGTGCTAATAGTTAGATCATCAAGTTGTGTGCCAGTAATGTAATGCTTGCAAACAAAGAACTGCATTAATAGTAATTTTTATTTTGTGTACAGGCTTTCGAGATGTAATGTCTTTCTGTAATGATTTTAACTTAGCTTGGACTGGTGAACGAGGAATAACCAAGGTGGAAATGCACTGGAGACTTCATTATCCTTTTAAAATATTCAAAATACTTCCCAGGAAGGCTGGAAAGATGATGGATGGCCATAATCAGGAAGCGGGTACCATTACTTCAAATTTCCCCTGCTCTTCTGAGTCATTAATTAATCCAAATATTAATTAGACCTGGGAAAGGAAGGAAAGAGAGAAATTTTTATTTTGCAATCGAAAGTTTTATTTTATGTTTTGCCTGAGTTATCTCCTGTCCCTTAGCTTTCTGACTGTTGGCTGGAGCTGCAAAGCTCATTCATTACAAAATATGAGCTAATCCTAGAAATAGCAAGAGTTTTTATAGAAGGTTTGGTGTTTCTTCAAGGTTGCCGGTTTTAGACCTCATAGAGTTGTTTAATTTTCTGAGAAATCAGGATGATAATTTCTTCACAGTAATTCAGACTATATATTTGAAATATTTTTGAAAAGATGAACTATAATGAGAATCAGTGTCTACTAGGTTAAAAATCCAGTTTTGAATTGGCAATAGGTTACCACTGGGAACATTTCATGTACAGACAACAGATTCACTGGGATACAGAAGAGAGAAGCAGCTTTATCCCTGTAACAGAACCATGTCTCCAAAGCAGAGAAAAATTGTTTTCTTCCTCTCCCTTTGAAAATATAAGTTCAGAGTTATAAAATCTGTTCTTGGTTATGGAAGGAAATCTGTGACCTCTCATTTTTTGACTTTAACTACGGTGTTTTCTCTGAATTTTTGATTGTCAGACATCTCTCTCTAGCTTACTGTTAGTGAAGAGGGTGAGCAGGAAGCAAAGCTGCACAGATGCCTGTGACACCCCTGTGTGTTATGGGAGTGGGCTGTGAAAATGCTACTGTTAAAAAAAAACTAAAGGAAGGATGTGAAGAGGGCAGTAACATCTAAAATGATGTCTGCACAGGAAGGAAGACAAGCAGTGTAGAAATACAATGGTTTTACACAAATATTATTTCATTCCAGATAAAGGATCACAGCTAATCAGGATAGTTCTTACATTTGGACTACCAGTTGAGGAAACTGGCTTCTCAAGAAGCTTCATCACAGTGGGCAGGAAAGCAAGTGGAGAGGCTTGAAAATAAACTGGGCTGGAAAAAGAATGAGGGGGAGAATTTTCCTGCAGTCCATCTTCTTCGTGATGGTAATGACAAGAGGGCAGATGACTATATTTTTTGTAGTCAGGTTTTTTTATTCCTTGCAATGCATGTTTGGGGTCATTCTCACTGTATCAGAGAGGTCCTTTAATTGTTTTCTACTAGTGCTTCAAAAGTATTTCTTCAGAGGGGAGAAATGTAATTCTGAAAAGATTTGTCAGATGCAGAAGAAATTTGAGGTACTGGAATAGTGGTTAGTGATTAAACTTAATTGTCTGAATTATTTATTGCTTCTTAGTGCTTCTGGCCTGGTGAGGGTATATGGAAGTTGGACCCACTGTTAAATTCTCTCATATCCTACAAGGTGCTCGGCATAGAATGGTAGTGTGCTGCCAGCTCCTGATGAGGGAGCTTCAGCTCCTGATGAAGCCAACAGACTGGGCCTAATTTGGCCCAAAATATGCAAAGCATAGATTTCTCAGAGTTCCATCCATCATTACTGTTTTCTAATAAGTGGAACATTGGATGATTTCTCAAGCATGCCTGGTATTTACTCCCATGACTGAGGTTCTCTGTACCTTTGGGATCTGCAGGGAGGCAACCAGCTCTCTCCTGCCATGCACTCTATTCTCAGATTGTTATCAGATCAAATCAACTATTAATTAGTAAGGGAAAAGAAGGGACTGGTGAAAAAACCTTGATTCTTTGCCCTGATTCTCCTGGATTTTCCACCCCATAAAGCAATGCAAGTCTTAAAACAAATTTATCTACCAGTGATAGCAAAGATAGAGAAACTGTCACCCGTGTGGGAGTCCAAAGACCAAGTGGTATGTAGCAGAGTCTTTTTATCTTGGGCAGGAAATTAAGGGCAAAATTTAAGATGTATCTTTCTGCTTCTATTGGATCTTGGCTTATGGCAGATAGGGTGTTCTTTTATCTTCCTTGCTTCTCCTTTGTATTTCCAGTTTTTTATTTTGAGATTACTGCAACCCAGAGAAAAGCTACATCAGGGGAAGTCGATCAGATTCACTGCTGTGATTAGATAACACTTCCACCTCTAAGAAAACAAAATAATTCCCTCACAGATTAATTCCACTTGATCATTTGGTTACCATCTTCAAATATTTTTGATGAATAATCTTCAGGCAATGGGTTGTTCATCTCCTTGCTCTTGCTGTTTTTTTGGGTGGTTGCTCATTGAAAATTATCAGTAGCTTCCTGAAAATTTGTTTGTGTGCTGTCTTGTATCTCCATCCGGAGCTACTTCTGCAGCTGAATGCAGTTCAGAAATGGTTCTACTTGTCATGCTTAAATTCACATAATCCATGATGAAGAGTTTGTTTTTTGCACTGTGATAGTTTCTGATCAGGATTTGATTTCTGGTCTGGAAGTCAAGCAAAATAAAATAAGAATGATGGCGAATGAGTAAACCAGCAAAACTGCTTGCCCTGAAGCCTTTGCAAAGGTGAGTCTTTTTCAATTAGTGCCAAAATGTGGAGCCACAGCACTAATATAATTGAATAAAAGCAGAGAAACAAAGCCAACTCCCTCAGGGTCTCACTTTTCTGTACCTGACCGAGTGAAATAAAGAAGCAGTAACAAAATCTTCCTTAGCCTAGGATTTTTTTTGCCAAACCCTGTTTCTTAAAAAATAATAATAAAAAAGGTATTTTGTTTTAGGAGATAAAATCTGTACATAAGAGAGATCCTGAATTGCAGAGTAGCATGTGGACTTGAACTCTTTAATGCCCAAACATGGGTTCTGAGATTCTGCTTTATCTGAAGGCATCATTCAAGCTTAATCTTTGGTTTCTAGGTGAATACAGTGCCACAATCATGCTTCTAGGTGATACAGTGTCTTCTCTGGAATTTTGGTTTATATCAGTCTTGTTTCAGCCTAAATTAGTACATTAGTATTTTGCATATATCAAAAGAATGATACATGAGTAGGTGGATTAGCAGTTAAGTTCTTGAATATGAGGTCGTGGAAGTCATGTAAGTCTTTGACAGTTCCCTATCTATAAAGCAGGTTTCTCATGAGGAAATGCAGACCTGCTTTTGCTCTTCCTTCTTGTGTAAACACCAAACAGAAGGATGTGGCTCAACCTGCAAATGATCTGTGTTTTTTTATGACTCTGAGTGGCCAGGTCTTAGTTCATCTCAGAAAGTGACCCCCTTCCCACAAAGTGCCACCCTTCCCTGGAGGAGTTTTCACCCAGTGAAAACTGGCTCCCAAATCCAGAGGGTTTGCTTTTACTTTGTTTTTTATATAATTAATTGGCTGTTGGCCCTGATGCTGAAATAATATTGTTTTACCGATTTTAATAAAATTGTCACATAGTGAAAAGCCATAATCTCCTGGGAGAGCACCATTGTAACTTTCTCCAGCCACCAAGTGGAAAATGAATTAACATCAGGGCTTGCAGAGTCTGCATGAAATGCTGAGAACTTAGTCTTGTTTAATTAATATTAATTTATTTATAAAGTGATAAGATTCATGTGGCTTTTGTTACATCTGCTTTTAATTTTAGAGGCATTTTAATCAGTTTGCTGCATGACAGTATTTGTCAACACCAGGTAAATAGGACCTCTAATATGACTTACTCTGTTGAGACTAGTTAACAGCCTAGACTGGGAAATAATACACAAACTCGTTTCTCCTCTCTTATCAGAAGAGATCAGTTCCCAAAGTGACATAGATATTGTTAGTGTAGGTGATACCTGTAGCCATGACATCACTATAAACCCTTGGGCAACACTTACACCCTTGGGAGTGTATTGCTGCTGAAGGGAACTGCTTGACCTGAAAGTCTGAGACTTTCTCTCCATTGAATTTCCTTCTGCTCAAGGGTTCAATCAAGAATCCCTAATTTTTAATGGCTTGCAGTCAAGACCACTGAAGTGACTTTTTCTTTTTCCTCCTGGACTTTGCATTTTATATTTTTTCATTATCCTTGGCTGTTTCTCCTCCTTACATTCCCTTGACACTTGTTCCCACCTTTGGAGGATGAGATAAGCAGAGAACTCTGTCCCTGTAAAGACAAGGAGCAGAACATGTCTGCACAAAGAGGGCCAGAGCAAGAATCAAACCTCTCCTGGGCAGGCAGGTGTGGGAGAGCTCCTTTGTTGCAGGTTGCTTTCTGGAGTGCCATCAGTGGGATTTTGTCACTGTAGGAAGGATAATTGGAAGCAGATTTCTTTCTTTTTCATTTTTTTTCCTTTTTTTTTTTTTTTTTTTTGGAGTCACCATGCTGCAGCAAATTTTGCGTGACATGTATATTGACCCTGAGCTCCTGGCAGAGCTGAACGAAGAGCAAAAGCAGATCTTGTTTTACAAAATGAGAGAAGAGCAGCTGAGGCGCTGGAAGGAGAGGGAAGAAAAAGCCCGACTGGAGGAGGCTGTGCTGAGAAAGACAGCGAGGCGCAACCAGAGTAAGATTTGTGACCTCCTTCTATACTCAGGGGTTGGGGATGGTGGGCATGCAACTGGCTATGAAGGGAGACTACAGGGAGGAGTGCCAACTGTCCCCATAGGCAAAAAGACAGTCCAGGACAGCAAAAGCACTGTGTTCCTGCTCCTTGTATCTCAAGGCTGGTTCTTTCTTTGGGGAGTGATTTAATGCTGGAGTAAGGGGAATCGTTTTGAAGTGAATGTTTCAGTCAGGAAGGAGTCACTACTGCTGTTCTCTCAGTAACAGATGTACTAGGACCAAGTTTCGCCACCACTCCTGTGAGTTTTTTCTTCACCTGCCATCCCCCTCCTCACCGTCAGTCAGGCAAAAGCCTGTGCTGTTGAGGTTTCTTGAGTTGGCAGAAAATGTTTCCAAGTAGCTGGAGTAGGAGATAAATTTATGAATTTCAGCTTGTCAGGAAGGGCTGTTTGTGAATAAGACATAATGTCAAAACAGCCATGCCATATGAGACTAAATCTCCAACTGTACTAATGAACAGTCTCCAAGAGATTACATCTAGGGAGTAGGAAAATAGTGTGGCAAGGCTGCAAAAAAAGTAAACAACCAAAACCTAAGAAGAAGAAACCAGAAATGCATTTTCATGCAATACGTAGTTAAAATATGGAGCTCCTTCCACAGGCTGTTATGAATGCTGAATGTGTGTGCTGACTTCAAAAGCAAATAAGCAAAATAATGGAAGAAATATCAAAAAAGGCCTCTCCAAATGTCATTTTCAACTGACTAGTCTTGGGTCCAAGTGGTTTGAAATAAACAGAATTTCTTAGCTCCTTGCTCTTTTCTCTGAGTAAGTGACTTCCAACTCTTTCCCCAGTCACAGGATGATGTTGTTAGGCTGGTGTAAGATAGAAAACATTTTCAGCTTTGAAATGTAACTGCAGTGATTCCTCACTCAACAAGGAAATGTCAGAGATATGTCAAACACTCCTTTCCCTGTAAAATGCCAAAGATCTTATCCTATCTTTAAATCTATTAAAGCTTGAATATTCAAAAATTTCAATAACTTTTGGTAGCTGATTTTGAGAAAGTGCTTTAACGGTTATGGGACTGCAGTCGGTGTTTAAAGTGTTGCTTATTTTAATGTGCCCATGGTAGAAAGCACCCCAATACAGAGAGATTATTGGATTCAATTGCCAGACCTGAAATATTTAGAGCTTCTGAACCTTACGAAGTGCCCATTAGATAGTTATCAATTCAAAGACTATTATTAGAAGTGTGTTACAAAGCAAAACTATTTTCCAAGGCTCCCTTGAAGCACAGGCCTTTATGAAATGACTAGACTAAGTTACAATGGCAGTCTCAAAAAAAGGAGGGAATGTTCAGAACACCCTAATCGGCCATAACAAGAGTTTAAAATGTCCCCTCACAGATGGCAAGGTGGATGTCGGAAAACCTCATTCTGTTTAATTTCTATTTTCTTCATGTTAGTGCTCTCACTGTGAACGGTACTCTCCGAAGAGGGATGGCATCAAAATAGCTTCTCTCATACGGCACAAAAACCTTGTTCCTGTCAATTGATTTGTAGCTGAGAAAAAATTAAAAATGCAGTTCTGCCCCACATACCAAAATAACGTCTTATCATTGAGATAATCTGTTATGCTCATTCTTTGTGGAAGACAGATACAGAAAAATTTAACTGCAAAAATATTTACATGAGGATTTGTCACAGTGTTGACACCTAAATTTCCATATATAAATTATACATTAGACCTGTTCAGCTTCCTACTACAGGAGACCATTTTCTGGGTAATTAATTTTCTGATTTATAAAGAGTAAGAGAAAGAAGAGCTGCAGAGTAACCTATAGATTATATTTGCTCTGACAAAGGTATTCACAAATACACATTGAGTTAAATTTCACAATAGCCACTTTCTGTTTTACCATCTTAAATTGACAATTTAAGGTATTGCTTAGGTCTGACTTTTGCCCACACTTAGAAACTTTCTGCTTCCTTCAGAGCTGTACTGAAGAACTGCTGGAATCAGATTTGCAATTCAGACACTTGGTTCTGCTGAAAATATCTTTTACTTTCATGAACTGATGTGGACCAGAGTTAGAAAATACAACTTCTTTCAGGCGTGCTGGTCATTGACTGTACAGATACTTGTAATTGATTTCTACTGTGCAGTTCCATAATGTGCTGGTAAATAGTCTCACAGTGGAACCAATTTCTTGTTTAAAAAAGAAAAGCTAAAGAAAACCTGACCACAAAATATGGGTAAAAGATAAGAATTACTGTGCAATATTCTTGCCTATATGACTCAAAAGGTCAGAGTAGATCACAATAATCTTTTCTTATCTTAAAATATGGTGTTTTTTTTTCTTGAAGAAATTTGACATCAACTTTTTTTAGACCTTGAAGCTGCTTAATTTTCAGTTGCCATTGACGTATAAATGAATTTCCAAACATTCTTCCCCTGCTACAGAGTGTAGGACATAGAGTGGTTTTATTCCTGTTTTAAATTAGTGGCTACCAAAAAATGTGAAGCTACCACAATTACGTGTTCTTTATTCCTTTGAAACTGGTGGGATTTGACCTGTTTCATCTGCAAGTGTTGGTTTTGACTCTACTGCATGACACAGGTTTTATATGCACGCCATTTTGTTGAAGCCAAGAGTTAGTCTGGCTTTATAGAAATCTTGGCAGGCTGACATAGAGCAGAATACAGATGTGAGACTTTGATATCTCTAATGTTGTTCTGAGTTTCTAAGAATGTATAATTGACAGGAAAATGTGTATGTTGCTTGTGAATATCACATTGCATTTGTATAAAATAATTTTATAGTAATTTAATTGGAATTGTCTTTATAGGACTACCTTTCAAATCCTTCTGGTTTTTGTTACAGTTTGAATAGCTGCATATCCCACTTCTTTGGGATGGGATATAGTGATATTGAACAAAAGAAGTTAATGACAATGAGCACTTCTGTAGTTTAAAATGCTTTCTGCTTGATCTGGAGTTCTATACCCCAATTGCTACAGTTGTCCATCAATTCAAGAGCTTAGGTTAGCTTAGCTTAGCTTCAATGGTATGTGTGCATCCAGCAGCATAGAGAAAGGGGTGGATTTTCCAAAACAGAGCAGTGACTGTGAATCCAGTCTTGATTTCCTACAGTGACTTGAGGATGAAGTGTTCTTGTGCAAGGTTTAGGTATACTGTCTTATGGAAACTCTAAGTGCAGAGCTGGGACAAAAAGAGTAGCATATGCAGGTCAGAATGGCCTTGTGCTAGAGCTAAAATCATCAACAGGTTTAAAGAACACTCATTAGCATGATAATTGTTTAAATGTTTGGAAACTATCTAGCAAAAGCTCAAAATCTGCATAGATTTTTACAGAAGTGCCACTGAGCACAGGTTGTCCATAAGTGTCCTATTCAGTACTATTAAATTTGCAGTTTAGAAAACAAAAGCACGTCCAAACCATAATAAGATATAAGTTGTTGAGAGTGTTTATCAAGCCAAATAGTGTACTAGTTTGTGTAGCTAGTCTTAATTTCTAAAGAAAATTATATTAGTCACCTGCAGTGAATGGTAAATTGTTCCTGTCTTTCCATTTGGATTATTTAGTTCCCTGTGTCTTGAGGAAAGGTTAAAACTGAAATTAGTATCGGAATGAGTCAATGTTAAAGAAATTATTTCACTTTTGGGGTGAATGATATGTGTTCAGATTATTAAAGAGTTTTAATTTCTTTCCCATTTTAAAAACACAGATTTATGTCTAAAAGGGAGCAGTATATAGATAACACTTCAGAATGAAGTATTTCCATTAGAAGGTATTGAATAAATTGTTCCCATGTTTTTGTTATTTGTATCTTGCCTAAAATTATTAGTAGAATTTGGGCATCATGTGGGTCCTTTCAAATTTGCAGCATTTAGTGAGATTATTCAAGGTAAAAGAAATATTTTGTGGCTCTAATTAAATAATGACTGATGGCTGATACTGGAATATTGCCACAAGTGAGTTGAATTCTTGGAGGTCCATCTTCAGTTCACTTACAAATTGCTCCTGGGAAGATGGTTCAGGAACAGATCTTCATTGTAATGAAACAGTTTGATTGTTCTTACTCTGCTAAAATCACTGAGAGAAATCTCCTCAAAATTTCAAGATCCTTTTGGGGTTTAGTGAGAAGTGACTGACAGGCAGCTTTGCAATTTGCAAGGAAACATATTTGTGATTAGGCAGGAGCCCTTTAACCACTACAGCTGAGTTGGGAGTAAGCAAAGGACCCTGCCTATTTGGATTTTGATGCTGAGGTAGTATCCAGAACTGTCAGCATTCCCAAAACGAGATCTCAAAAACTGTTGAGCATTAGGTAGCTGAAGGACAGCCATGTGGGAGGGGAGATAATGCTGATCTGCTGCTCCTTGTTCTGACATTTATTCATTGTGAACTGCAGCTCGTGGTGTTCAGTTGGGAGCTATTTGTAAACACTCTTATTTACCTGTCCTTAACAAGAGTAGCTGCGAGAAAATAAGGTAGGCTTATCACAGCATGGCTAGAAAATAATTTATTTGTATAAATGGCATTTGTGTTAGAAAATCGTTAGAGAATAGATGGTGCTATTTGGAAGCAAGTATTTCAAATATCCCAAGTGGATGGTTGGAGGATACATCAGTGTCAGATGAGAAGGCCAGTGAGTGGGTATGTGTTTCAGTAGATGTACATGCACTGAGAGTTTTTTCTGGTTTTGAACTCAGAAATGTATTCCTCATTTATGCTAAGGCCTCTACATACCCTGGTAATCCTATGGAGACATGCTCCTGTCATTGTCCATTGTCTCTTTCTCTTTATCATTGGATATGGGTCTAACCAGAGACATCAGACTTGAATATTTCTGAAACTTCTGTCCATATGTGGTCTTCAGTTCTGTAGAACCCTGTCTTTTGTTTCCAATTCTGATACAGATGGAACAGTAACAGGAGAACATAAGCAAGAATCTTAGAATAATTTTTATTAGGG